TCCCATCCCATCCCATCCCATCCCATCCCATCCCATCCCATCCCATCCCCTTGATCCCATCCCATCCCATCCCTTCCCCAAAATCTAAAGGACAAGCCTGACAACTGACAGAGCAGTAAGTCCTGAGGAGTCACAGATCCTGCCACTCCACAGAGTGTATTTGTAGTTTGTGTATTTGCAATTTTCTCCATCRAGTTGCTTTGAATGGTGGAGGATGAAGAGAGGATATGAAATGCAGGAGTGAGTTTTGGACAAGCACCTGCCTTTTTGATGAAGTCAAAATGAATAACACAGTCCAACCCTTTCCCCTGGATTCTGATTGTCATTTCAAGTGCCAGGTTCTAAKGGACCATTTGAAAACCAAAACCTCTGGATCAGACTATACAGGGAAGAAAAAGCAATGTGCCTCATGTTGCACAGGTTGGAATTATTTTGGGAAGGGACTGCCTTCCTCTGTGCAAAGTGTGAGAAGGGTTGTGTCCTGAGACCAAAGAACATTTTCATTTACCTAATCCTCCATTATTATAAGACTCTAAGTCACCAGTAATACTTTTAATCTCTTCTGGGTTATTTTTTCCTGCAATGCTTTGCAGATTTTGCAACTTTCAGTATTTTGTAAGGTAGATCATAAATTTCAGGGAGGCTGTTAGGAAATGCTTTGCTGCTCTGCATTTGTGTGGAGGCACAATTTGAGGACTAAATATCTATTAAAGGGTTGAACACATTTGCAGGGCACAGATGTCTGATTCAAGTGGCTCTTTTTAGCCCATATTCTTGACTGGAACATATTTAAGACCTTAAACTCTACCAGGACAAGCATCCAAAAGCGTGGAGCCAGTTGAGTCCAATTCAGCACTGGGTAAACAGRTATTTCCCCCTCTGGCTTCAGCTGAAGTTTTAAATCCAGAGATTAATTTATCCTTTTCCCATTGCAAGCCAGGACTGGAAAAGTCATGAAAACACACCTTCTTGTAACAATTCCAATCCCAGGCATTCCTATTACTTTTCCTACTCTATTCCAATCATCACTAAATTGTATTGTAAGTTTTGGGAGTTTTTAATTTGTAGTASTTCCTACTAAGCAGGGAACAGTTCAGAAGTCTCTGAAGAAAATCTTACAAAACAAGCCAAACTTTGTCAGAGCAAAATTTCTGTGCAGATGCAGACTGAAATAGTCTGCCAGTGGGAAAGTACATCGTCACAGCGAGGAATGGAAAGAAAGAGTGTAAAAACTGGTTGGATCGCACGAGCAGCTCTGTCCCGCCCCGGCCCCGAGGAGCCGCAATCCCGGCTCGGTGTCAGCGCTGCTTCCACAGCGATGGAGCAGTGACACCCAGCGGCTCCGGACAGCCCCGCGGCACATCCCGCTCCGCCGGGAACGGGGCTCGGCCCGGGGCCTTCGCCGGAGCTCCGCGGGACACAGCACGGGACAGAGCATGGGCAACGGGAGAGAGAACGGGACAGAGCACGGGCACAGGGACAGAGCACGGGATAGAGCATGGGCAACGGGAGAGAGAACGGGCACCGGAACAGAGCACGGGACAAGGCATGGGCCCGGGAGAGAGCACGGGCACCGGGAGAGCTCAGGGGCTCCGGGAGAGAGCAGGGGCTCCGGGACAGAGAACGGGAACCGGGAGAGAGAACGGGCACAGGGACAGAGCAGCGGCACCGGGACAGAGAAAGGGCACCGGGAGAGAGCACGGGCACAGGGACAGAGCACGGGCACAGGGACTGAGAACGGGAACCGGGAGAGAGCATGGGCTCCGGGAGAGCTCAGGGGCACCAGGAGAGCACACGGGCACCGGGAGAGCTCAATTTGCTGCACTTTGCCAAAATGAGAGTCACAATGTGTGTCTCTACTGCTTCTTTTMTACATGCATATACAGGTAAAACCTAACATTTATAACATAGTCTACACACTCAAAAATGTCCAGTTATTTAGTAAAATCATTTGAACCAGACGGACATATTTAAAATTACTTGTCACACATATTGCCACTGTGATGAACAGAGATTTATGAAAAAATGTACGATATACTGATTTTCTAGGTTACTCTATGAAATCTTCAGCTGAATATCATTTTGTTTGGGATATATAACTTGGGATGACTATGGTAGGAATAACTGGATTTCAAATCCAGGAATAAGGATGTGGGCTCTCTGAGATGTGTAGGCTACAACTCCATTTGGAAGCGAATGGCCTTATGAAAAAGGCGGGGTAGGTTGCCAGGTTTACCTCCTGGGGTAGGACTGCAGCATGTGAATAGTAATGGCCATTTCTGAGTATGAATCTGAGCACTGAGGAGAGATGATCAGATACCATCCAGAGTTTGTGGCACAGATCAAAGGGTTTGGGCAACTGACACGAGAACATTTCATTCTGCAGACCATGCAAGAGCAAAAGCTCTCTCTCCATCTTCCGTCAGCACAAGAGAGAATGTCTTGCCTATCTAAGCGAGCGCATGGTCTCAATCCATCCAAACACTCTGCGCTACCAGATCAGGCCCTGGCAGCACTCCACCGGTTTCCTCGCAGCCCTTCCTCTGTAACCAAATAGCCGCAGGAGAATGCAAAGACTCCTGACCCTCCTGCCGCGGATGRAGAGCTCCAGCACCCGCCCCGAGCCCTTCCCCGCGCTCAGCCGCCAGCAGAGGCCAGCCCGGGGGCAGAATGGCTCCGCTCGGCCGTGTCCTCGCTGCCGCCCCCATCCTGCGGCCCCTCCGCCGGGCCAGACCCACCGTACCCGGGGCTTGGGCCGGGCAGCGGGGGCTGCAGGAGCGGCGAGCGCCGAGCCCGGCCCGCGGGGGAGCGGCAGCGGCTGTGGGGACAGAGCGGTGCGGGCTGAGGGCACTGTCCCCGGAGCGGTGCGGGCTGAGGGCACTGCCCCCGGAGCGGTGCGGGCTGAGGGCACTCTCCCCGGAGCGGTGCGGGCTGAGGGCACTATCCCCGGAGCGGCCCGGGATGAGGGCACTGTCCCCGGAGCGGCTCGGGCTGAGGACATTCTCCACGAAGCGGTGCGGGCTGAGGGCACTCTCCCCGGAGCGGTGCGGGCTGAGGGCACTATCCCCGGAGCGGCCCGGGATGAGGGCACTGTCCCCGGAGCGGCTCGGGCTGAGGACATTCTCCACGAAGCGGTCCGGGCTGAGGGCACTGCCCCCGGAGCGGTGCGGGCTGAGGGCACTCTCCACGGCCCGGCCCCCGCAGCCCCCCGGCTCTCTGGGCGGGCATTCCCCCTCTCCCGCCGCCCCGGACGTCGCGTCGGCGGGGCGGGTGCGCAGTTCCGGCGGCAGCGGGAGGGCGGGGGCCGGGCAGAGCCGCCGCGGCCTCGGCAGCAGCTGCAGCCGGAGCTGCCGGAGCGGCGCGGGGGGCCAGGCCCCCGTCATGGAGATCGAGAAGGAGTTCCAGCGGCTCGACCAAGCCGCCAGCTGGGCCGCCATCTACCAGGTGAGGGGCAGCGCCCGGCCGGTGTGCCCCGGCTGTGCCCCGGCTCTGCCCCGGCTCTGCCCCGGCTGTGCCCGGCGCCTCCCGCTCCCCGCGATGCTGCCGGTGCTGCCCCGGCCCCGAGGGCTGGTCCTGCCCTGCCCTGCCCTGCCCTGCCCTGCCCTGCCCTGCCCTGCCCTGCCCTGCCCGGGCACCGCTGCCCGCCGCCCCCGCGCCCTCGGTGCCGGTGCTCGTTCCCCGCTCGGCCGCCGCCGCAGAGGGGTACGGGAACCCCCGGCCGTGCGGGCACCCCGCGGGCAGAGCTGAGCCGAGCCTAGCGGAGCAGAGCTGGACAGAGCTGAGCAGAGCCGAGCCGAGCTGAGCTGAGCTGAGCTGAGCCGAGCCGAGCTGAGCTGAGCCGAGCTGAGCAGAGCCGAGCAGAGCGGGGGCCGCGGGCCCGGTTTTGGGGCAGCCCCTCTCGGCGCTGGAGCTCCGCTCTCACATTCACATCCTCGGTTCGCCCCGCGGGGACATCAGCCCTCGGTGCTGTYAGAGCTGCCCCTCCCGGGCCGCGGGGCGCTGAATCCCCCGGATTTGTCTTTGGGTTTGAGCCGAAAAGCAGTGATGGGGGCATCAAATGCGTTTAGCTTTTCAGTCACCTTAATGATAGAACAGAGCCTGAAACAGCGTGTTAGTAATACTTGTGCAGCTAGCACAAGTGTCGTTTACTGCGTTTAATTTTTTTGGTGATATTTAAAACTGTGTGACAAACGTGAATGCTTGCGACAGTATTTGCCTACTGGATCCAGCTTGGCATAAAAGCCACAGAAATGAGTGCATTTATCTTTAGAAGYTCTTCACACCCTTATCTAAAAGGAAATTTACGAGAAGCTGAAATACATGAATGACTGGGTGGATGTGTTCAGTCAGTTACAGCATTGCTGTAACATCCATTTGAACGTTTAGGCTGGTGTATTTCATGAATGAATGAGCTGAAATTCATGTTTGCAACAGACGTTGAGCTTTGGTTCCTTTCAGTGTCCATTTCCTGGAAGTAGGCTGCTGAGAAAAGCAGTGAAGTTGTATAAAAGTGAAATCAATGGACTCCAGTTTCAGAACCACAGCAGGCAAGTTTTAACAGTAATAGCTTTCAGGGTGAGCATCTTCAGTTGTCGAGCATCTAGAGAATAAGAATGAAATGTTGTGCATGCTTTTCAGAAGGTCCGTTTTCTACATTTCCATCCCTGCAGAGTGTCAGTGTTTGCTGGCTGTATCAGTTGAAAGTCATGTGGAAATATGACGTTACGTTTTTGCTGAACTGTTCTGGATGCTTTGGYATGTTGCAGTTTTAGTGCTCAGGAAATGATTTTGAGTAATAGAGCTTTGTAATGGAAGGGGTACATTTCTGCAGGTACAATTTAATTACAGAAGTGAAATATCTAAGGCGAATGAGGGAATGGCCCATTTTCAATGAGGGATTGGCATTCAGTGATATTTTTGTCCTACTTTYTTTGAATGATATGACTCAGTAGCCTGCTCAAACTGTAGCACAGCGTGAGCTTTGATTGAGCACTAAAATTCAATTAAAAAAAAAAAGGACTAAAGTGATTCTTTGATTTGYATCCAACTGTTGACAAGCACAGGGGGTGGATTTTTACTTTCTTTTCTTTCCCTAAGATTGATTAGTAAATGTGCATCTATGACATGAAATTCAGTTTCTCAACTGTATCCTGCTTTTAAATAAGCTGTTGAAAATGGCAACTTGGCAGGTCAYGTACATCTGGAAGAACAAAGTACTTCTCTATAATCTGTGCTTTTGGTGTCTGAGCTGTGACGTTAACAAAGCASTTTTCCTACAATGCCAGTTTTGCTTGGAGAATGCAGTAAGTAGAATAATRAATGTTACCGGTGCAGAAAAATGTCTTCCCCCAAGATAATTGTACCACATGTTATAGTAGCTAAGTGTTACGATTGTAACTGCTGAAATCCAGAAATGTTCACCAGTATTGCAGGTGAAGCATATGTTGCTTGCTAGCTGTCACCTCCTCGTGTTCCTTGTCTGTGTTATCTGGAGATACAGCAGTGTGCAGCATCTCCAGGAGGAATTAGCAATAAACAGGGTGGTGTGACCACAGGGAGATTTGTCTGGCTGCCACATGACTTAAAAGGGTTAAAATTGTCCATGCTTCTTTTATTTGGATGACCGGAAGCTGTGTTCAGCTATGATAGTACAGTTGTGAAAGGACAGAATTTAGATTACCTTCTCTTTTCAGCACAATTAATCACAGGATGGGGACACAGACTCAAAATTAAGATCTTGTGTAGGTGATTTTGTCACAGCCATGTCTTGGGCACTGCACAGGTAGTGGAACCATTCTCTGTACAGCTGCTCAGAACAGCATGAACAGTGATGAAGCTCTTCATGTTATGTTGGTTTTGTTTTTTGTTTTTTTTTTAATGCTTGTTTGGTCGTTCATACCTGTTTCTATCCTTTACTTTCCCCTAGATTTACTTGCTACAAGAACTATGAGCCATGAGCTCCTGTGGAGATTGTTCAGGGACCCAAGTGATAAAAAAGAAGTGCTCAGGTTCTGGCTGTTGCTTGTATTTTAGAGAAACATAAGCGTGAGAAAGGAAATTCAATTTAAAGTCCTCTTCCATAAAACAGTAAGTTAAAGGGTTGTGAGCTTTACCATGTGCTAGCTGTGGTAAAGGTACAACAGAAAACAAATGCTTGGGGGTAAGTGAATGATATGTAGCCTGCATAAATATCATTAGAAGTATCTACTGGAATGGAAAGCATTCACTCTGGAGATGTCACAACAAAAAAACCATACCCCAAAGCTAAGGAAAGCACAGCTTAGGCTTTTAGAGCAGGGAAGAAAAATAGCTATTTGTCCAGAAWATCAAAGCAACACTAGATTGTCATTTGCTCACAGTGAGTGCAATATCAGATTTTCATAGTAATTTTACATGCAGAAGTCTTCCAAAACTTTAGGAGATATTTTAGTTTCTAACTTCTTTCATGGGGTGATAGAGCGAGATATTATCTTGAAAACACAACCCTCAAAYACAGGTAGAGTTGCTTCTTGTGTTTATATAAACTAGATATGTTGGCCAATGATATTAACTTTGATGTGCTTATCAGGAACAGTAAAAATACCTCTGAATTATTTACTGATGTGCTGTTCAAGTGGGGATCCCATTTGCATGGATGAAGGTAGAGCATATATTTGGGGACAGCTCATGCAGAGTTTTGCATGTGAAGGTAGCAAAATGAAACTAAAATATGCACTCTTTTATTCTTCTGATAGTTAGGGGAAAATATAATAAGAAAGAACTGGATATAATTTAGATTTTCAAGCAGGTTTGGAAGAGAGTATCCTGAAAACAGAACTAACTGTGCTTTGGAAAGCTGAACTGTAGTTGGAGTTGGGATTGAGGCCTGTAAGAGACCGGTAACTGTTCTCAGTTTCTTTTTGAATTTTGGAGGGTCTTTTAAACAAATATTAATGTAAATGTTAGTTTTTCYAAACCTCTCTAAGCTAGACTAAAATACTACCAATTATGGAAATTAATAAACTTCACTCAGATTATGGGGGAAGATTGAAAGGTATCATGACATTTTGGATGTCCCTCTGTCAGGAGGAAAAAGGCATGGGAAGTTTTTTAGGTATTCACTGTTTCTGGAAAAAGATTTGTAGAATATGTGGATGGATTTTGATGTTGAAAGTAAACTGAAATGGTTGACCCTGCAGACTGGTAGCAGTGTGGTTGTRTTTTGTATTTAAAGTCAGTGAACAGGAAGCTCTACAAGTGTTTTTGGTTTATAAGCTGCAGCAAGTGTGCAGGCTGCAATCTGAAAGCATGTGGGTTAGTCCTTTGCCCTGGTGCTGAGCAGCAGATAGATTGTGGCATGAGCATGACTTATTATAAATGCATCTTTCTGCTTYATTCTGCCAGTTGGAGCTGCAGGTCTCTGCATGCAGTGCCTTGCCACTGCTTAATCCGTGCTCTGTTGATTCATTGGAGGCTTTGCGTGATTGGCTCTGSTTATGGAAAGCTGGTTTAGAGCTCAGAGTTGCAGGGAGTCTCTCTGTTCCTTCAATAAGCCAAAGATATTCTATGTTTGTGGTGCTGTACAGTCACTGAGTCTTGCTACACGAGTGCAGGGTGAGTGATGGAAAAGCAAAGTGTCTGTGGCTCATGAAGTCAGGATCCTCCCTGGAAGGCAGAGCTGCTGTTCAGCTGTGGGTGATGGTACCTTTTGTGCTTTTGGGGCTGGTTCAGGGCATTCTGCTCAGCTCACAAAGTCAGGATCCTGCCTGGAAAGCAGAGCTGCTGTTCAGCTGGGGGTGATGGTACCTTTTGTGCTTTTGGGGTTGGCTCAGGGCACTCTGCTTGTCTCACAAAGTCAGGATCCTGCCTGGAAAGCAGAACTGCTGTTCAGCTCTGGGTGATGGTACCTTTTGTGCTGTTGGGGCTGGCTCACGGCGCTGCTGCATTGGTTGGGTTTTACTGSTGCCTTTCTCAGATCAGCACCACTTGTGTCTAGATTTGAGATTGGGAAAGTCCCAGTKTATAAAGCTACTGAGCCACTTACTCTTGCTTGTTCTACAGAATTTAAATTCTAAATGCTTGAACCCAGAGCTTCTGTGATAGCCTTGCTGGAGCTAGAACATAAAGAAATGGAGCCTGTTATGGTTATCATTTGCTAAAAATTTAGAAATTATACAATGTGCACACAGTACTCACCTGCTTCTGAGCATATTTGGAAGGGGTTTATCTTGTTGATGTGTTCTTCCAYGTATTACTTATGTCTCCTCTCTGTGCTGGAGATGCAGATGTATAGAAGGAAACTAAAGGAGAAAGCAGTGTTGGCCAYATTCCAAATGATGGTAAATTCAAATAGAAATAGCCCTTGTAAGCAGAGAATAAAATGTGGTAGTGGTAGACCAAATATTTTTTCAAACTAAAATAGCTTTCTAAATATGCTGGGTAGGTTTGAAATAACAGTTCAGCCT